GGTAGCCCCAGAGGATGTTGATTTTCAACGTCTATTATGGCGTAGCGACAGTGATTCAGAAATTCAACACCTTCGGCATCTACGGGTGACTTTTGGCGTATCATCAGCACCTTACTTAGCAGTTAGAACTTTACAGCAGGTTGCACGTGATGAAGGAGATAAATATCCTGCAGCAGCAGATAAAGTTTTAAATGAGTTTTACATGGACGATTTGATGACTGGTTGCGAAAATATAGATGATGGTGTCCAAATATATCAACAAATGAACGAGTTATTAAATCTTGGAGGATTTCAGCTTCAGAAATGGAGCAGTAGTAATGATGAGTTACTATTCAGGTTAGATCAAGATAAGAAAACTTCAAGAGAAAGTAAAGAGTTAAAATTAGATTCTGTTATGAAAATTTTAGGTTTAACATGGAATAGGCTCAATGATGAATTTCAATACACTGTTCAACTTGGGTCGCTGGACACACCTGTAACTAAGAGGAAAATGATATCTGAAATAGCGAAATTGTATGATCCTCTCGGTTGGCTCGCTCCTGTCGTGACTACTGCTAAAGTATTTATTCAAAAAGTATGGTTGTCAGGCATACAGTGGGATGACGAATTACCATCTAATATATTAAAGAATTGGTTTGAGTTTCGAAACGAACTCACACATCTCACTCAATTTAAGATTCCAAGGTGGATTGGAACGCGCACCAATGATGTTATTACAGAATTACAAGGATTTTGTGATGCTTCAAATGTAGCGTATGCCGCCGTAGTCTACATTAGAACTATTGATATTAATGGTGATATTCGTGTATGTTTACTTGCTGCAAAAACTAAAGTAGCTCCGGTGAAACAAGTTAGTATTCCTAGATTGGAGTTATGTGGGGCAGTACTATTGGCTAATCTTTTACAAGAAATTTCGGAAGTTTTATGTATTCCAAAGGAAAGTATTCACGCCTGGACGGATTCAAGTGTAGTTCTTTCTTGGCTAAGTAACCATCCAAGTAAGTGGAAAACTTATGTAGCAAATCGTGTTTCCGAAATACTAACTATTATGAACAACAGTCAATGGTCACATGTCACGTCTGAAAGTAATCCTGCAGACTGTGCATCACGGGGTTTAAATCCAAGCAAATTGTCTGATATGAAAATTTGGAAAGAAGGTCCAATCTGGTTACAAAAAAAGAATATTAAATATACAAAGGGAGATTTGAAACCTACTGATATAGAAAAGAAAAATGAAAAAATGTCATGTCATACAATTCAGTTTAATTCAGTTTCAAAAAATAATGATATAATATCTCGTTATTCGTCGTTGAATAAGTTACTAAGAGTCGTCGCTTACATACGTCGGTTCCTGAAAATAAATAAAAATAAAATTAATATACCTTATGTAACTAAAAGCGAAATAAAGGAGTCTTTACTTACCTGCATTCGTTTGTGTCAGCGAGAGAGTTTCCTGGAAGAAATAGAATGGTTACAAAAATGGGGTAAAATTAAGAAAAATAGCAAACTTACTTCACTCAGTCCTTTCCTCGATACCGATGGTATTCTCAGGGTGGGCGGTCGCTTACAAAAAGCTGATATCGGTGAAAGTATGAAACATCCAGTATTGCTACCTTATCAGTCACACCTCACAGAATTAATTGTGAAAGATGCGCACTGCCGTACACTTCATGGGGGACCTCAGTTAATGCTGAACTATTTAAGAACTCAGTATTGGATAATCAATGCGAAAAATCTTGTACGCAAATACGTTCGTTCGTGTGTTGTATGTCGTCGCCATTCTGCACAAACAAGCCAACAAATGATGGGAAATTTGCCTACTGAGCGTGTTACCGTTTCTCGTCCTTTTTACCAGAGTGGAGTTGATTACGCAGGACCAATTGCTATTAGGCCACACAAGGGCCGTGGTTATCGATCCACAATGGGAATTGCTCTGTTTATATGTATGACCACTCGTGCAATACACCTCGAAGTCGTGAGTGATATGACATCAGAGGCTTTTTAGCAGCATTTAAGCGATTTGTTGCACGACGCGGTCACTGTGCAGAACTCTGGAGTGATAATGGTACAACATTTATTGGTGCAAACAGGGAACTGAAACAATTGTTTAAAATAGAAAAATCACAAGTAGCTAAAGATATTGCTGAGTGGTTAGCGACGAACGGTACTAATTGGCACTTCATTCCACCTCATGCTCCTAATTTCGGAGGACTGTGGGAGGCTGGAGTGAAGTCCACTAAACACCATCTTAAAAGAGCAATTAGCAATAGTGCTTTAACATTCGAAGAGATGTCAACTCTTTTATGTCAAATTGAGGCTTGCCTCAATTCACGACCTCTCTCTCGAATTAGTAATAGTCCAGAAGATCCATATCCATTAACTCCCGGGCATTTTCTGGTGAGTGAGCCTTTATTGCTTATTCCAGATACAAATTATGAGAACGCCAATATAAGTACCCTTAAAAGATGGCATTTTGTCCAAAGACTTCTTCAAGAATTTTGGCGGCGATGATCAAATGAATATTTGACCCAATTGCAACATAGATACAAATGGTCTCATATTGTTCCTGAACCTTGCATAGGGGACGTAGTATTAATCAAAGAAGATGACCTTCCTCCTTCTCGATGGTTATATGGCATAATTACTGATAAACATGTTGGTTCGGACAATCTAACGCGAGTTGTAACTTTACGTTGTAAGGGATCTTTAATCAAACGACCTGTTTCTTGACTTATAGTATTACCTGTCACTGTGTAATGAATTTAATTAAGTATGTGTGTATGATAAATATGGCATTTATTTTTATTTCGAAGAAATGTTTTAGTTGTTATTTAGTTAGTAGAGATTGATTGTTATTTTCATTTTTGCTAATCTTACTGTTATTTGTAATGGACATTCTGTCTATGGTGGGCGGAATGTTAAATCTGCTTTTTTAAATGACATTATATATGTCATTTACCCATATAATATGTTGTAATAGATGTCGTACCTTTGACTTTTTGAATCGCGGTGTTATGATTGTTTGTCAAAGACATATATAGTTTTTCTAATGTAAATAAATTATCCTCGACCTTAATACTTGTTTCATTCAGTTTGAACCTTTTTTGGGACTTTAACAGTCAGACTCCTCTTCAGTTTTCGCTAGGTTCTACAATAGGCCAGTAATAGACAATCCTTGTGATTTTGCTACAGCTGTTCTCTCTTCTAATAACCTGTAAAAATATTTACAAAAGTGTTAAAGCAATAAAATTACTTATACTATTATGTTCAAACAATAATACTTACTCGTACCTAATAAATATTGTAATATAGTGATTTAAAATAAACTTATTTTCACATTTTACTTTGTACTCTCAACATCTACAATATGTAAATAATAAATCGCAAAGAATGAAGCTGCTATGCATAATTGAAAATCAAACGAATTTACCTAAGTGAAGTTCGATGACAATTATGCAAGCAGCTTCATTCGACGCGATTTATTCACACCCTCCCTAACATAGTCTTTTATCCCTACCCTATATTAATTAACAAAAAAAAATGTGAAAACTTGTTGCTCTAAACAAAATGATTCAAACACGCCAGCGGACCGTTCAGGAAACTCAGTAGTGGGGGAAAGTGTTGCCTGGTTAAAAATGTTGCCAGCACAAAGCAAACAACACTACCTTAAAAAAAAAGAAAACCTCTAAACATCCGTGCAAGGCTGATGCTAGGTAGTACTACTACAATATGTAAATAATAAATCGCGTCGAATGAAGCTGCTTGCATAATTGTCATCGAACTTCACTTAGGTAAGTTCGTTTGATTTTCAATTATAGCAACTAGTTTGGTCCGTTAAAAAATATGAAACCGATACAATCCCGTATAATGAAAATGTGTGAAAAAATATAATTTATCTTCTATGTTTCAGCTGAATATATTTTCTTTTGAATACCTGCATAATGAATTTCGGAGGTCATTCCCTGAAATACACATTGGATGCTGCGATCTTTTAGATACAGATCCCTATTTAGGTGTCATGTTTACGAAGAATGGTATCGCTTGTCCGGTCAAAGCGGTAATTGTATATTTACTTCAAGACTTTGATTCAATATGAGAACTGATTTATATTTTTGTGAACACTATTTGATTTGAATGACTTTCATTGGAATAAAGACATTTTAAAAAATTAATAATAAGTCGAATCGTTTTCTCTTTGGGCATGCCTCCGACTGCAAGTTATGTTTAATGTTAAGGGGTGGATGCGGTGGGGGCGGATAGGGGTAGCGGCTTTGGTCGTTGTGGACCATAGAAAAACAGCACTAGGGGGCCCGGCTGGCATCTCGGAAGTAATCCGAGTAGCGGCAGTCGGGCATTGGGGGGGTAGGGCCGCCTTCCGTGTTTAGGGGGGTGGTAAGTAAGCAAGTGTCACGAGAGGAGTTTGTGACTAGGGGGAGGTAAGACCCGTCCTAAGTCGCGACTTGGTGGCCCTCTAGAGGACTTTTTGAGGGAAGGATCTGGGCCGGCGTCCCAGCCGTATCCTGGGTAGCAGCGGCGCGATTCGGGTTGAGCGGGCGTCTCGGGGGTAACCCGAGTAGCGGTCGTGTCAACCTGGGTGGTGGGCCTGCTGTATGCCTGCTGCATGCTGTAAACCATCGACCGACCCGTATCTCTGCGTCGAGTGGAGACGGGGGCTACCCTTTGTTGGGCGTTGGGCGTTGGGCGACTCTGGGAGGAAAGTCACCTTGTTAAAAAACTGCTACTCTCAAGTTGGCCGTGGGCGAGGGGATGGATTGTAGTTGGTAAGGCTGTCAAATACGGCTTCTGGAGGCGGGGACTAGCCAACTCCCGCCTTCACAACCTTAGGCTTGCTTGGACACATGGCCTCAGTTCAAGTGGACTTTTTTGTTACCTGCTACTCGTGGGATAAACTATAACTTAAGACTTAAAACCAATAATAATGTTGTGAGGAAGTCGATGGAAGTTGAAGTGAGAGGTACGGCAGTTGAGGACGTGGTGTGATGGATTTCGGCAGTATTCGCTCTGCTGATGATATGAGTACTAAGAGAATTTTGGAGATAATAAGTGATTTGAAAGAGGAAATGGGTTTCACTGAGTACACCTCTGTGTCCTTAGTCGAGAGCTCTGATCGGATTACCATAGGTGAGAAAGAATACCTCGACCAGGTTTTGAGGCCAAGGGGCTTACTTACCGGAGAGGCAAAAGAGGAGATAAATTTGTCGGACCTAGGAATTCTGGGCATTAAGTTCGGGGTAGCGACCACTGGGGCTAAACTACTAAAGTTCCTAGGTACGAACATATTGAGGGATGTGTTTGGTAGTGAGGTTAGAGTCACGAGACCCGTCAAGCGTGTAGACATACGACTGACGAATCTCGACGACTCTATCACTCCCAGCGAGATGAGGGCGACTATAGCTGGAAGATGTGTTTGTTCTGCGGATGGTATCGTGCTGGGCCCATTAATCGAGGGAGATGACGGACTCAATGTGGCCCTAGAAAGATGCCCGGTCAGAGCAGCTGATCTGCTTCTTAAGGAGGGTCGATTGCAGATTGAATTGCAGATCGCACGCTGGCCGGACATTGCACGCCCCTACTCTGTCGGGGGGGTGCGTTTCGAATATCTCTGAGACGTACTCCCAACCCGCGAGGGACTTTTTCTTTTCAGGGCGGGCCGAAATGGGCGCGAACCGCGTGGTGTATGGCCTTTGGGCCGATTCCATGAATCGCCTTCCATGCGAGGAACATCGCTGGGTTTTAGTGGGTATATTGACTAGCCCCATTCTGGGATGGGTCCGCAGGGGGAGCCCCACATGCCCCGGTTAGCCGCGCTGGCGACCCGGGGTATGCAGTAATGCATTCCCCAGCGTCAAAATTTTTAACCTATCTAAGAACACTTGGGCTACTAAGACAAATCTAATGATACAATCATCTAAATCCGTTCAGCAGTTCTGAAGATTTGAAGTAATAAAGAATATTACATAGATACATACATACAAGAAAACATAACCCTTACTTTGCAGTCGGGTAAAAATAAGGGAAAATTATGGTAAATTTAAAAAGAATTTAATAATTATTACAGGGTTAGATATTTGGAAAGCGGAAATAATTTTGCAGAATTAGATAGCAGCCGATACTAATAATCAATATGTTAATTACATTTTTAAGTTATTTTATAATTTAATATAACGTTGATAATTTTACGCGCTACACCAATATATACAAGCGCACGGGTATACCGTGGTTCTTTTGATTATAAATAAAACTTATTGCTCGCGTTGTACAAACGTTCAATAAAATTGTCATTAATTTAATGCGACATTATCGATACAAATTTTCAAATTAAGAACATTAATTAGAGCTTAAAGGCGTCATTAAACCTTAATGAACGTGCAACTGGGCGATAGACTTATAAACATCAGCACCTTTTGTTTTTATACCGAGTGACCTTTACATGCCGTCGACCTGGACGAAAGGCTGACGGAACCCGGGCTCTCCCACTGCAAGGGACGGTCCAGTGCAGTGGGCCTACCGTGCAAAATCCCCCGTACCACCCTTACGCATAGTCCGGTACCTGGTATCTTAAGATAAGTCCCAGGTAGAATAAACATCAGTATCTACAAAAAACTTGAATAATCATTTAATTGGTATAAACATATACAGGAAGCAATTAAAACCACTCTCCAAATTTGAGTATGTTAATCTTTACGACAAATAATGAAATACGGGTTTTTTCTTTTTATGTCGTTTAGAACAAAAATGTTGAGTTATATCGTCACCAAGTTATTTTCAAAAAACCTACATTTGTGGACGCTCTCGCTGCCCAGTACGTGCGCTTTACGCACTACGTTGCACTTACCCCTCCCTCTCTTGCCGCAATTCATTGATAGTAATAATAGCAGCTACCTAAAATGTTTTCGTTTTGTCATGCTTGGGGAAATGGTAAATAAAGTTGAAACCTCTTCATACTTTTACGGGCTTAGGACCGTCAAATTGCCTAAATCCTATTAGATACCTACTATTAAAATAGCTATACTGCTTTAAATTTATAAAGTAAGTAGGTAAGTAAATATCAAGTTACCAAAAATTCTGTTTAGTTAAACCAATTCAAAGTAGGTACTTAACTCGCTATTCTTTTGAAATCAGGCGTATTTAATCAACTTTATGTACATAATCAACTAATCAATTTACCTACCTACTTTAACTATTTACCTACGTATACTTTAATAAATTGTTCAAAGTACATACCGTTCCTCTCCAAACAGAGTCTTGCACCTTTTCTGCACATTGTCTTTTAATTTTGCGAGCACTGCCGTGTCATTTTTCACTTGGTAAAATGCCGCTCTGATTTGCACGTTTAAGTCCTCGAGGCTTTGTGCTTCCTCAACATACACACGTCTTTTAATTTCGCCCCACAAATAAAAGTCACACTGTGTTAGGTCCGGCGATCGCGCAGGCCCCACGATGGGGCCTCCGCGTCACGTTGATCACCATGTATGTAACACTGCACCATTTCATAATATTCGCGATTGGAATACATTACGATGCGCGAAGTGTGGGGCTGCGGCGGGTGGCGCGCAACACGGAAGCGGAAGGCGGAAGTGCGTGCGTTCAAAGGGGTTGTGCGCGGGCGACTGATGTGCGCCGACAAAATAAAAAACCGAGCAGACATCGTCGTTGGCACATGCGAGTACATCCCCTGCGCCCGCGCCCTTCTACCCCTGCTTGTTTTATTCGTATCTCGTGTGATAATGCGAATGTTATAATTATCTTGTAATTGCAACAAGTTTACATTTCATTTTGAAAATTTTACATACCGTTTTTTTTCATATATGTGATCTATTAACGATACCTAATGCCTAGTAAAAATTTGGAGAGTCATTTTAATTGCATCCGGTATAGAAATATAAATATAGAAACACTCGCAGTCTTCTGGACATCTTACTTGTTGGCAATGATTTGGAGTTTTTTTTTATATAGTAAAGTTTTAGTCATACCATATATTTGATATTTCGTATATATTTATTAGATTGTAATGTTATAACTCGCAGATCAATATTGTTCTTTATGATGTAATACAGCTGAGGTGCTGGTATTTTCATATGAACCTGCATGTATAATCTATTTTTGTTATACAGGGAGAATACCATCTCCTCAATATGACAGTGCCGCTGAAAAACTTTCCATACAACATACCATTCCACAAGTTTCGACTCGAAATGGATTTTACACAAACACACACGAAAGAAATCATAGGCAGAAGTTACCTACAAGGCATGTTTAAAAATAAATAAATTTGGCTTAAATAAATTAATTAATAACAAAAAATTAAATAAACTTTTACTTACCAAACTTATGATAAGAAAATTTAGAATAAATTTAATTTATATTTTAATCAAATAATAACTTCATCTTAATAATAGGCTCATTATTCACTAAAACAGAAGGTTTTATTATTTTGCGTCAAGATTTATTAACTGAGGCTATGAGATCTTTCATTATGTATTTGCTGTTGTTTTGATGTTGATGATTTAGTCCTAAATAAATAATACCTTCTGTTTCCGGTACACTCATAGCCACAATTTATCCATCATACGATATGTCAAAGTAGTAATATGAAACGAAATATCGTCACAAGATCGCTAAAATGTAGTATTCTATGGCTAGAATCAAGGCCAGAGTTAGGCGGTCGCTCTACAGTTAAAGAAAAAGGTCACCCTAGATGGGTTATCAATATTTTTAATATCATTCTGTTAACCCTTGGCATGCCTGGCAGGGTCTAACAGACCCATAGTGGCATGTAACTCAGCATTTTCCACATAATCTAGCCTAAACCTTTGACATTTCAGGAAGTTTTTCTAATGTCTTTATCAATAGTCTAATAATGTATGAATAAATGTCTTAGTCCCAGCCAACATAACTGCACGCAGAAGCGCAACAGCTTTTTATGATTTTCTCAAGCTTCGTGGAGTGTTGATGGGCAGTCAAGTATGTACCCCGGTGTTCTGCCAGACTCGCATACAAGGATTGCGTGAGCGATGGTTTCTTTAATTGACACACGCTCTGCAGAAAGAGCTGTCGGTGATACCTGTGAGATGGGGTTTTATAAAGTGACAAGTGTCTGGTTATAGTACCTACGGTTTTGCGAAGACCGAAGACCTTGTGCTCATCCTTATGTGTTAAACATCAGGTTTATTTGTCATCATCTGATGATGACGATGAAGAGGTAGAAGTTTCGCCAACATTTACAATGAATCTTTCTACCACATCATCCATTATGCCATCAAGTTGGCAAACCTCATCGCTGTTTACTGTTTCAATACTTTGTCCAACGTGGGCAATTCATTGTTAAGAAAAAAATAATGAATTTTTCTATGTATTCCACTTAAATCTATATTATCAAACTCATCTCATTTAGAGTATTTTCTTTTGCGAGGAGGGGGTGACTGCGGGCCGCCTTTTGTAGAATGTTCTTTTAATATATTGTACACAGTGGCACGAGATATGCCTATAAAAAGAAAATTCATATGTTTTATTTCCACTTCTTAATTAATGTTACTTTTAAATAAGTTTATGGTGATAATTTTACTTTTCTTACCTGCAACTACAGTAATTTTATTCATTATTTGTGTTCTAAAAACTGGAGTACCTTCAGGCCAGGACACCTTAATTTCTTTGTTAATATTAATTACAGTTTGCTTTTCTGTAGAACTCAGTGGATTTTGCTTCATTCTCTTCTTCTTAGGAGACATTATTATACTTCAATAGTCAATCTTGGGGCCACGTTTTAGTCAACTTTAGAGCGTAATTGTTGTAGGCCACTCGGGCCTGTACCGGCATCGTCCATATTTAACAAAACTTAACAACAAAAAGCTAACAACTAAAACAAAATTATAAGAAAACAACAATAAAACAATAGCAACTAAATCACGGAAAACGACAAAACAACATGAAGGGCAATACCATTCACAGTGAATGACAATTCCAGATTACGTATTTTGACAATTATGAATGCATCATAATCTGACAATGTTAAAAAGCTGTACTGCCGAAACGTTTAAAAGGATTAGGCAACGTTTTAAATTTGGTAGAATTATAGTGACATGAGAATCGTGCCAAATCTATCCAATCCTGCTTCTTTACGTTCTTTAAGGTAAACACTTTTTATTGTAATAATTATTAAATCATTTAAGTTAGTCAAATACTCATAAATTTGTTTAATAGATAGCTCAAGCGACAACGGTTAAGTATAGCAGCTGATATTTAAGTGGAGATATAGCAAACTAGCCGTCAGTCTTAAGAGTAACTTGATTATTGATATTTTGTCACAAAGTATACCACAAAAAGAACCTTATTTAACTTCTGTCTAACGCTATAATTAATGGAGTATAGGTAAAGTGCGCGCGGGTCTCTTAGACCCCACCAGGCATACGTCGTGACTTTCTTAAGTTAGTATTATAAATTATTTTATTAATTTTCTAATAATTATTGATATTTGGAGGCCTATGTTCAGCAGTGGACGTCTTCCGGCTGATGATGATGACAATTTACTACTGGTAAAAATTAGAGAAATGATAGTCGACTCTGATCATAGCTTCCAAGTGGTCGAAGAAGTTTTTTTCTGAAGCAGACTTGAACATTTTTATTTCAAATGATAGATATCGAACTGAACTGAACTTCACACGTTCTGTATTAAATTAATTTATCGCAATCGGGCTCACGCAGCTTATTTTTAAATGTAACTTTGCTGGTGGACATTCTGATGTCCAACGGAAGTTCATTCCACAACAGAATCGATTTAATGACAAACGAAGAATACCATCCATTCTTCGGAGTGATGCGATGGACACATGAGCCGTAGATTTGTGGAGGAGCAAAGGTTTTTGGTATGAGTGGTACATATGTACCGAAATTGCGACGTGAGATAAGACGAAGCATTCGAAGATTTCAGTAAGGAAAACAGAGTAGTAAGAGCTCGCATACTTCGACGCTGTCGAATGGTCATCCATTTTAAGTGAGATCGGTATGCGGACACATGATCATATTTTCTAAGATTAAAAACTAATTGAATGCAGTTACTTAGAAGTCGGTCGAGTTTATTTAGTAGATCTGCATTCAGGTCGAGGAAGCACACATCACC